AATTATTTTTTGATTTAACATGAAGTATTTTGTAAAGTTGTCCATTTGATGAATCTACTGAAAAAAAAAGAATCTAGTCAGAATCATGGAGTAAAGCTCTTCTCAGTAAGTTCAGGAACAACACAACAACTGTGTTAATTGTTACCTTGTTAGAAATGGAGAGGTTCATGTTGATATGGCTGATGAAAAGTGTTTAATAATTTTTGTTCTTAAATAGTAGAGAGAGAAAAGAGGAAAGATGAGTTACTGGATATTGCAAAGTCAAAACAAGAACGTACAAATTCAGAACTGCATAATTTGAGACAGGTATGTTCCCAGTTATCTTTCTCTCACTGTTAGGAAGGAAATGTTCATGAACGGACTAAGAAATTGTACACTGGTTAATTTTGTCTGTGGCACTTTTGGAATCCTGACTACACTAGCCATACATTTAGCATAGTCGATCAGGTCTTGCTTATGGTAATTTAAAGTCAGCCATACTAACAAATATTAGGGTGAACTTAGGGAGAATAAAGGCAAGCAGTGCACACTTCTCTAGCAAACTATCTGATGTATTTAGATTTGAAAGTGACAAATTGTAGCCTCCATTTAGCTTCATTGTTATATTTTATATTGATTTATCACTATCTATGGCAGATTTATGTAAAACAACAGAGTGATCTCCAGTTTCTTAATTTCAATGTGGAAAATTCTCAGGAATTAATTCAGATATATGATTCAAAGATTGAGGAATCGAAAGCCCTGACATCCAGGTAATCTTAGCATATGCTGTTACTATGATCTTGGCTTTTATTTCATCATTGGATCAATATTTACTTTGTGTTTACCACAGGCCAGGACCTACTACCATTCCTCATGTAGTAGGAAATACTATATATGTGCTAAAATTAATAATAGTCCTAGGTTATGGTGAGACCTGATTTGAGAATTTTAGGCATGATTCTAATTTAGCCACTTGATAAAAGTAAAATCATTAGATCTGATCTGTATTGGGTAGAAGATAGGCCAGAGGTAAACCAGTCCTTCATTCAGTTATTCTCTCATTCAGCACCCACAGTATTCAGGCACTAGGCCAGGAATAGGAAATAGCAAGATGCATAGGACTTAATACTTGCCTCAAGAAATAACGTCAAAAATGGCATTGGTATCTGCAGTTGGAGCTCAACACTTAAGGGTTGGCATATTGGCTCTCAAAATTTTTTAAAAAAACATATTTGTATTGGTGTATCTACATGGAATAGTGGTATTTGTTGTCACATTCTTGTACATGCACAAAATATAACAATACAATTTGTTTTGTTAGCTCTCAGACCTTATGCGTATTTACATATAAACATACACTTAAGTTGGAATTCTTTTTTGACTTAACATGAAGTATTTTGTAAAGTTGTTTAAAGATTATTTTGAGATCCCTGCCCTCAGCCTGATTTTCCTGTTTGCCTTATCAATAGGAGACTACTTTCCTAACTTGTACCCAATTTCTGTAAAATTAAAGTATAAATATATAAAGTTAGCAGGCATAATAATTAAACAATTAAATTTAGTCTGCTTTTTTAAGCAGAAATGTTATAAGAAGCCGTGAAAAGGAAGAGGGAGTAGAGAAGTTCTCCAGATCTGGATTGGATTGACATTGATGGCATCTCCTTTCCCTGGAAGAAAATGTAGTGGGATTAGTAGCTGCAGGAAACCGGTGTAAAATATTGCTACAGGCAGTGTAGCAGGAATTCAGCTGTGCTGCAGCTCTTATTGTGCTTTCCTTCTGGGGCCTCTGTTGGAAGTTATTACCCTATTGCTCTGTGGCCCAGCTGCTGCCACTGTCAGTAGACACCAGTTCCACCCAGGGTTCTCTTGAGGGCAAAATCCCCTGACATTGTCACTTTTTCCTCTTTATATGTCAGTGCCACTGAGAGATACTTGGTGAGTTGGGATTACTCCTAAAAAGCAAAAAATGGCCTATATGCCGTTTTGAAAGGAAAGAGTTGTGTTTTCTAGGGGATCAGACCAATACAGATCAGAATACCTGAATACATGCGACATGAGAAATCTTAAAGTAAGGTATGCTAACAGGTTTTGTCACATTTATGTAGTATCCTTGATTTGGTGGAAGTGGGTCATTTATAAAGTAAGTACAGTAGAAGTTAAGGATGAGAAAGGGGAAGTGCTTGTAGCTTGGTGGTCAAAAAGGCTTCCTGGAGGAGATCAGGCTGGAAGTGGGCTCTGCATATCAGACCAGTGGGTCTTATTGGGATTTAGCTCTAATGAGGCATATGAGAAATACTTAGAATAATGATATCAAGTGTTTTATAACTTTCCTTTTTTGTAATGCCACTATAGCAGAGACATGTGTTTATCAGACCTTGACAATAACCACCTAAAAGTCGATGCTAAGAGGGAGAAAAGTCAGAAGTCACTGGTTAAGGACCCAAAATTTGAGACCACATTGGCTCAGCAAAATAGGCCAGACAAGATTTCTTGTGAGGTATGCAAAGGGAAGAAACTACAGATTAATACTGAATCTGGGGAAAAAAATATAATTGCTTTATCATCTCTGTTTACAAAAGACTTAATGGAAAAACAAAAGTCTTGGTCTCTGGGTGGAAAAATCCAGAGTGAACCCGAAAACAAAATCACATTGTGCAAGATCCATGAAACATCATCAAAAGGTGGTGGAATTAGGTTTCAGAATGAAGAGAAGCAGCTCTGGGAAAGTTCAGCATCTTTACCTGATGAAAAGCAGTGGCATGATGTCAGTGTTTACCTGGGCCTGACCGACTGCTCTGATGCAAAGCCACCTGAAAAGCTGGATGTGGACTGTCATGACTTGATGGAAAAGTCTGAGATGTCATGTGGCCCCAGGAATGAAGGATGTCAGAGTGACAGTGACCTGTATGAATCCAAGTGCTGCCACCCGAGTAACTTCATAATCGAAGCCCCAGGCCACATGTCTGATATGGAGTGGATGAGCATTTTCAAGCCTTCTAAAGTGCAAAGAATTGTTCGCCACAAATCTGTGTGTACTTGTTCAGGAAGTGTCAGTGCAACAAAATATAACTCCTCAGCAAGGTTAGTGATGCTCACATCTATATGCCAGCACATAGTGTGTGTGCCAGAGCGTGCAAGTTCAGAGAGCTGCAGTAGCCACCTTGTGCCTCTTGTTAAACCACAGCAGTGTTTGCGAAGGAAATCTTAAGACAGACCGCTTACCCCTTGCATAGTCAGTTGAGTGCTTGATTATACAAAGGCTGTATTAGATTTCAGAGAGGAGTTGATTCTGGGGACTTCTGAGGCAAACATTTGGCTTAAAAATAAAACCAGTAATGAGTTGGCCAAATACGTTTTATTAAAATACAGATGGGTGGGTCACTGTGCAGGATGGAATGCTGCTCTGAAGCATTCTTCACCTCTGGATCTATTTGGAATCAAGTGTATCCTTCTGTGTCCAGAGTGCATTATTTTAACCACATATCAAAATTTCTTTTTGCCCTTATCCAGGGTCACTTGGCATATTCCCCATCCAACTGCTTATCCTGGGTCCAGCTTATATCTGTTTTCAACTTTATAGTCCCTCATTTTTTTTTTAAATCATGTAAGCGAATATTTGTATTTAATAAGCTGATAAAATTTACTAGGTTTTTAGAGATGAAAATGGATTAGATATTAGCAGAGGCTGAATTATTCAGGTTCATCTTTTTAGATTTGCTGAATCTTGTGGTTGAGTGGCACTGTAATGTCTGCTATTTTTAACAAAGCATAGCTTGTAGATTTTAAAATACAGAAAGGATGAAGTTTCTATATTGAGAGTCTTATTTGAATTATTGTATTGATTTTCATTTTAAAATTTCTTTCTAGTACTTATTATTTGGAGTGTTCTTTGACCCTTTTAGAAGCTTCAGTCCTTTAAAAATCATATCCTGCCATTTGCAAAAAAAAAAAAAAATTAACTTGGTTGTTGCATTCAATATCATCTATAGTCATATTTGGTTTTTAAAAATCTTTGGGTGGGGCTGGGGATGTGGCTCAAATGGTAGCGCGCTCACCTGGCAAGCGCAGGGCGCTGGGTTCGATCCTCAGCACCACATAAAAATATTGTGTCCGCCGAAAACTAAAAAATAAATATTAAAAAGTTCTCTTTCTCTCTCTCTCTCTCTCTCTCTCTCTCTCTCTCTCTCTCCCCC